AAATTCCTTTAGTACTTTTTGAGGTATGGCTCTGCCTATGACAACTCTCTCATACACTCTCTAGAGGTGTTATTTGCTGTCATGTATATGGATATTTCCATTGGGTATAGCATTGTAAGTTGGCTGTTGTTTCATTTCAGCATATAAACATGTCACCTTATTGCCTTTAGGCATCCATCATTCATTTCCACAATTTCCTTCTATCCAAGATTACTGCCCCTTGAATTCTGATGCCCTTACAGTTCACCAATGTCTTCAATAGAATACATAATTTTTATTTTTTATGTGACTCTTCTAGTTTTCTAATGAGAGCTTTTGTCTGCTCTAAGCTACCTTCACCATAGCCAGAAGCAGCCTTTTTTAAAAAATTTTGACTGAGTAAATCTTTGTGATATTGTTAATTCTCCAACATATTTAAGACATCTTCATTCAGTTTTAATCAGATGAATTGTCCTAATTACATGGCCTGCTTTTACTGGAACTAAATTTATATTTTTAAAGAAAACCTGGGCAATCCATACTGCTAATCCATAGGATGATTTTTTAATTATTTATAGCATTCTCAAAAATATAGTGATCCAAAATAAGAACCATGCCTTTGTGGGTCTAAAGAGGAGATGCATCTTATTTTATGTTGATAATAGAATTATTTAAATATATGAAGTGAAAAGAATGCCAGAGAAGAAAATTGTGTTTCTTATCCACTGGTATAAAATTAAAACAATGGTTCAGGTTTCCGTGCCTGAGTGGGAGATATTTACAGAGTCTAAAAGACCATATTGAAAACTTTTGTGTCTACTAAACAATTCACTTTCCCTGAATTAAAATATAAAGTATAAAAGTATATTTTATTTATAAAACCATCAAAGGGTGAATAAATACTTGAACCTATAACCTAATCATTTCTGACCACTGATAAAGATACTGTGTCATTATAAAAGGACTTCCTGCTGAATTTTTCATGTGATTCCCTAAAGGCTTGAATGAGCAATAGCTCATCTTTTTCATAAAGAAAATGATAGAAAAAAAATGTGTTAACTATTATTGAGCATATTCAATTCACAATAATAGATGGCAAATATCCTGCTGGCTCAATAGAGGACAGGCATTGTACTTTCTTATCAATACAAATATTCAGACATTCTGTGTAAGCATTATCTTGTGAACTCTAACACTCAGGAGTCTCAGAATTTAATGTGCATTGGAAGCCCCTAGGCAGCTTATTATAAATGTTGACGTCTGACTCATGCACACTGAATATAGTTTTGAGAAAATCTTCAAGGAATTATGATACACTTAAAAGTTTTAAGACCACTGCCATAGTTTAAAAAGAGAAAAAAAGGAAGGGAGAATGGGATGTTTGTGTCCAAAGGATGTTGTTTCATCTATAAGTGTCTTTTTTAAATTAATGGTCATAAAATGGGTAAAGATGAATATATAAGATATACAAAGTTTCCTAGAATATTAGAAATTATAGAAATTGCAAAGTAAAACATTTCAGAATCTGTGTTTTAACAAAATTCTATCAGAAACAATTTAATATTTATCTTGCCTTAAGTTATAGTATCTTTAGAATTTGTGAAATTATGAAATATCTATAATTCACAATTAAAACTTTCTCTAATGTCAAAATGATTGACAAAATGATGTATATAGTAAGCTAAACATAAAGTTACTGAGATTTTTACATTAGATATTAATTTTAAAATGCTAAATGAATTAGGGAAAGGAAAAATAATAGAGGTACAAATGTTAAGTCTCCACTAATTTATAATAAAGCATCTTTGTCTGCCATTTCAAATGAGTAAAGAAAGACATCCAAAGAAAAAGAACAAATCCAGGGTCCACCTAACCTATTACCAAGAAGGCAAATAAACTTCCCTTGTGTAACAGAATAATAATAATGCCTTTTCTCAATCTACTTTGTAGTGTGTGGTGTCTCTTCATTCTGGAAATAAGTCATTTTATAAAATATCATGTTAGTTGTATGATCTTCTACCTAGAATTGTGTTTCACACTTGAATAAACTTAAAGTTCATTTAGTATGTTAAATTTTGACTTGTAACTAGTATTACATTTTAAAATACAGAATAATTAAAATAGTATTTTATATTGTTTTTCAATTTGAAGAATGATTTAAATATCATTTTGAGTAGACTACACTGTTAAAATTATAGCGATGGCCTTCTGTAATACAGATAAATTTCCTCTATGTAGTTGGAAGCCAAATGTCACACTGAATTTAATTAGCTCTCTTCACAAAAGGGAATTCAGTCTCACTTAATAGCCTACAAAGATGGTAATAGCACTAAGATTATTCTAAATTAAAATATTAATAAAAATTATAAATTCTCCAGTGCTAAACTACTCTGACTTGTTTATACATTCTATGCATGAAAAATTTCAAATGTATTTCATAAATATGTACAATAAAAAAATAAAAAATTAAAATATTTATTGTAAAATGGTACAAAATGAAATTTAGTGGATCACTAGCTTATAAGTTTATTAAGGAATGATAATCAGTCTATGATATAAAAAATATAAATTTTATTTAACTAAAATTCCATCCTGAAACTTGATATTCACCCATGCTCTTGCTTAGAAAGTACCTACTGTCTGGGTAGCCTTCAAAGCTTTTATCTCAACTACATTAAACCTCTATGAACTATCCTATTTCTAACTCAGTTTTCTTTATAGAATGTTCCTTTCCTACTCATTCAGGCAGTTTAGCAGTCTCTTATTTCCTAATTGTTTCATGGACACGTCTTATATATATCTAAACTCTGTGGACAGAGACCATATATTTGGGGAAATAAAATAGTATTTCAGAGGCAGAAAACAAATTTTGGGATTTTATGTATAAGTTCTCTTGTGTTCTTATAAGTTCTGTTGACAGGAATAAAACAATTACTCAATGAACTTCATCAAACCTGAATATTCTAAGTATTTCATGCTAAAATTAGAGAACTTTGCAATTGTGTTATTACCCAAACTTTTACAAATATGAAAAAAAAATTAATGGTAAAATTATTTGAAATTCTCAAAGATTCAAAACTATGATTTCACTTGAAAGAGATGTTTAATAATTTCAAAATTATTATAATTAATGAGATGCAAATATGTTAAATAATTTTAATTTTAAGTATTTATTGAATAAAAAATATAAATAAATGAACCCTGTAGTCAGCTAAACTACAAGGTTCAATTTCTTTACTTAGTATTTCCAGGCTTTTTTCATCATTATCTGTGCTCTATAGTGATAGATTTACTAGATATGTGTACATGTGTGCGTGTATATAAACGACTGATTTTAAAGTAGTTATAAAGTTGGCATTTGAAAGTGCTTTAATTACTGCATTTGTATTATAATTCCTAAAATATTTTTTTAGTACGTTTTGTCAAAATTCCTGTATTTAAACAAAAAGAAAATAAGGAAAAATTATAAAGCAAAATCTAGCTAAATCAACTAAAGCAAAGGGAAAAGAATATTTACTACTCTTATTATATAAAAAGGGTTTTAATCTAGCTTAAATTGTAGAAAGAAGTAAGAAAAGAACAATTGCAGAAGACTGAATGAAAACAATATTGTTTTGTTAAAGAGTGAATGTAACAAGGATCCTTCCAAAAAGCATATTGAAATTTAACTTACGTGTGGTCGTGTTGGGAAATGGGGTCTAGTGGGAGATGGTTGTGTCAAAAGGGCAGCTCTCCATGAATAGATTAATGCCCTCCCATAGGAATGAGTGAGTTCTCACTCTCTCAGCTGGTTGTTAAAAGTCTGGCACTTCGGGCAGTGCCTGTGGCTCAAGAAGTAGGATGCCAGCCACATATACTGGAGGTGGCGGGTTCAAACCCAGCCCCAGCCAAAAAGTTGCTAAAAAAAGAAAGAAAGAAAAAGAAAAGTCTAGGACTTCCCTCCTCTCTTTTGGTTCCTCTCTTACCATATATGTGATCCCTGCACACGCTGATTCACTTCACCTTCTACTAGAAACAGCCTAAGGCCATAACCTGATGTCCAATCTTGAACTTTTCAGAGTTAATATGCAGAATGATGACTCAATTCCAACCTTACTTTTTAAAAAACATATTAATCAATCTCAGGTATTCCTTTATAGCAATACAAAAAAGACTAAGACAGGTACTAATTTAGTAATATTAGAATTTTGGTTTTTTTTTTTTTTTTTTTTAGAGACTCACTTTATTACCCTCGGTAGAGTGCTGTGACATCACAGCTCACAGCAATTTCTAATTCTTAGGCTTAGGCGATTCTCTTGCCTCAGCCTCCTGAGTAACTGGAACTACAGGAGCCTGCCATCATTCCCGGCTATTTTTTTTTGTTGCAGTTTGGCCGGGCTGGGTTTGAACCCACCACCCTCAGTATATGGGGCCAGCACCCTACTCACTGAGCCACAGGTGCCACCCAAAGTTTTTAAAAAGTATTTTAAGACTGAAAATTGAATGGTCCACTCAACTCAATAACAGAAATGCAAAGGATGAATCCTTCTACTCAACCTGAGTCAACAGCCTCTACAGAGCTTATAATAAGCATGGAGAAGAATGAATGTCAGACCCTAGAGAGCTAGAAGGAAATGGAAAAGACACTGGTAATAAAATAATTCAAATACTCATTTCAAGAAGGAAAAGGAAGTCACAAAGATACTTACTCCACACTATATAAGCCTAAACTCATCAGTAATAGATTCTAAAAGATATATCATTTGGCTCTCTTTAGGGGAAGTAACTCTAAGTTATTCCTAACTATTATTTGTTTCCTCTCAGATAACTTCCTAATGCTCCTGAACTCTCCTTGCTATTATATTAATACCATGGCCCAAATTAAACTTGACTTTATCTTTTCATCTTCATATTCAGTCTTTTTAAATATACTACTTCAAATAAAGAACAGTAAAAATAAGTGAGACAGATGTTCATTGAGGCTTAATGAAAATAAGTGAATTTTCATTAATATAAAACAAGAAATCATATTCATTACATACCACAGCACTCAGGACATTTGGGATGTTGCAGGACATTTATTCCATAACCTGGAAAGCAGCGATTAATCCAAACCATTTGGAGAGTACCTTCAATATAGTATATTTCAGGCAATGGCTCTGCACGTCTGCCAAGAACCTCTACTTGTTGATTAAAAAATCTCTCTATGAGATTTTTAGCCTAAAATATAACAATTTGAAAATTTGTTAGCCATAAATAAATGTAACACAGATGCATATGGATAAAGAGTTCAAGTATCTTGTATATTATATCCCTTCCATGACAATTTCTATAAATAATATAAAAATGTTTTTCAATATATTATATTCAACATAAATATATGATTTTTGTTCTATCACTCAATTACTTATAAGATTTTCACAGTTTAAATGGATTTTTGTGCTTTCTGTTAAACTCTAGGGAAACTGTTGCTTTTCAGTTGGTCAAACACAAATTCTGGGTAATGAAGTGCTTAAGAAATAATTAGACACAGGTTGAGCACCCCTAATCCAAACATCTAAAGTATGAAATGCTCCACAAAACAGAGACCCCGACACTATGGATCAAGTGGACCTGACAGACATGCAGAACATGCCACCCAACAGCACCAGAATATACTGTTCTCTCAAGTGTGCAGGGAACATTCTCTAGATAGACCATGTGTACAGCCACAAAACAAGTATTTATTAATACAAGTGGTTGAGATCACATAAAATATCTTTTTCAATCACAATGGAAGCTAACTAGTAATTAATGGCCTAAGGAAAACCAGACCTCCATACATGGATTAGACAGCACATTCTTAAACAACCAAAGAGTCAGAGAAGAGATCACAAGGGAAACTTATAGGAAGTGGTGAAGCCACAGTATGGGAACTTACAGCTACAAATGCCAACATTTACATAGAAAGCTCTCAAATAAATAACCTATCTTGAGAATTAAGGAACTAGAAAAAGAATAACTTAAATCTACCAGAAAAAAGAAAATAAAAAAGATGAGAGCAGAGATAAATAAAATAGAGGACAAGGACATAAGACAGAAAACCAACCAAAACAAGAATTGGCTTTTTGCTAATTTCTCACATCACTGTATTGTGTGCAAAAAGCATATAATATATACTTATTTTTTTTCTTGCAGTTTTTGGCTGGGGCTGGGTTTGAACCCACCACCTTGGCATATGGGGCCAGCGCCCTATTCCTTTGAGCCACAGGTGCTGCCCAGAATTGGCTTTTTGAAAAAAAAAATCAATAAAAATGATAAGCATTTAACCAAATTAAGAAAAAAAAAAAGAAGATGCAACTAAAAACTAAAATCAGAACTGAAAGGAAATACATTACAACTTACTTTACAAAAATAAAGAGTTATAAGAAATATGATATGAAATTTTGCCTCTTCTATTCACAATTCTGCTGGAGTGCTGGGCATGGCAATCAGGCAAGAAAGGGAAATAAAAGGAATATAATAAGAAAAAGGAAGGTTAAAATTATGTCTATTTGCAGATGACTGGATATTACATATAGAAAAACTATTACGATTTCATAGAGAAAAAAGCTAGAATAAATGGTACAACATCAGCACGTACATAATAGTTGCTTTTCTATACACTAAAAATAAAATACCCCAAAAGAAAATTTTAAAAATCATTCATCTATAAAAGCATCAAAAAGAATAAAGTACTTAAGAGTAAATTTAACCAAGGTGGTGAAAATTATTCCAAAAATTATGTTACTGAAGGATATTTTAAAAAATACAAATACATGAAAAGACATCACACATTCATGAATCAGAATTTATGTCATACAACCCAAAACTATCTACAGATTTAATGTAATCCCTATGAAAATCCTAATGGCATTTTTTGTTTTAAAATAGAAAAGCCCATCCTAAAATTCATATGCAATCTCATGGAACTATTAATAACCACAAAAATCTCACAAAGAACGACAAAATTGGAAGTCTCAGACTATTTGATTTCATATCTCTATATAAAGCTACAGTACATAAAATAGTGTGATACTGGCATAAAGACAGATATGAACACAAATGGAACACAGAATCCAAAACTACATGCTCACGTACATGGTCAAAATGATCTTTTAATATAATCTATAAACACCATGATGAAAAGATGAATGCTTCCCCTTGAGCTAGAGAACAAGGAAGGATGTCTGCCCTCACCATTCTTATTAAACATAGTACTGAATATTCTATCCATTGCAATAGGCCAAAATAGTAAATAAAGACACATAAAAAGTAGAAAGTACATTGTAAATTTTAAATACTTCATCATTTTCTTGACACTTCAACATCTCCCTGATTAGGTTTTGAGTACCCAATATAGCTGGCCTGGCTGGGAGTTCAGCTTCCCCCAGATCCCTGCCCAGGTGCCCCTCTTGCCGTAAGGCACCTCAGGCACCTATCCGTAAGGTCTCTCATTCACTCGCTTTCTTTCCTCTTGCCCCCCTTCTCTGAGCTCCTCATCGGCTCAGGTGAGATTACTCTTTGGTGGTCCCTACCACATAGTCTCCTGCTTACCATGCTCCTGTCTCATGAACCTGTGAGCACTGTAAAATCTTTAATTGCATATGCCTCTCAGAATGTAACTTCTGTGGCTAACATGAAATGACCCTTAAAGATCCCAAAAGGGAGACCCACTCCCCTATTTATACATGATAACAGGAAGGAAAAAATAAATGTTCCAATTTAAAGCTGACATGATTGACAATATAGCAAATCTCAAAGAATGTTAAAAACCTTCCATATTTAAAAATTCCTTGAATAACTGAATTTAGCAAGTTCACAAGAAACACTATCAAAACATAAAAAATTTCATTTAAATATACTCACAAGGAAGCCTTGAAAACCAATATGAAAACACAATACTCTGAAACACTTCGAAAGAAAAGAAAATATTTAGGTACAAACTTACTTAAATGTGTATAGGATCTATAGCTGAAAATTACAAAACACTGATAAAAGAAAATAAGAAGATATAGAAAGATATCATCTTGTTTGTGGATTAAAGGAATCAGTATAGTAAAAGTGTGAGTTTTCCCCAAATTTATGTATAGGTTTAACATAATCACTATCAAAATCCCAGAAAGATTTTTGTAGACATATACAAGCTTATTCAAAATATATACAAAGAGGTAGAACCCTAAAATAGTTAAAACAATCATGACAAAATAAGACTACAGTGGGATATATTTAACTACAATGGTCAAGATAGTCTGAAATCAGGACAGGCTTCAACACAGAGATCAATAGAAAGGAATAGGGGACTCCAAAATAGACCCATACAAATGGGTTCAATTGTATTTTAATGAAGGAGAAAAATCTATTCAATGGAGAAAAAACCCCACATTTTCACCAAGTGATTTTGAAACAACTGGCTATCCACAGATAAAATAACAACAAAATAACCTTTAGCTAATCTCATGCCATATAAAAATTACCGTGTTTTCTGTGTATAATGTGCTCCCCTGTATAATGTGCGTGCACATTTTTTTAATCCAAAATTCAGGAAAGAAATCTTTTGTTTTAATTTTTTAAAGGCAGGCAGAAGTGGCCTTGCTGTGACGCCTCCTTCTCTCACAAAAGGTGCAAGATGCAGAGTGGAAGCCAAGAGTGAGCCTGGTGGCAGGTGGGAGTGGTCCAGACAACCTGAATGCTCAACCTCCACAACTGTCTACTTCTAGCCAACTCTTAACCCCATATTCTCTCATTTCATGTTCCCACCCATGTCTGTCAGTGAGCACATGACCATAACAGGCTTATTTCCAGGAAGCTGAAGTGAGGGGACTGGGCCACCTCATCCCTTGCCCAGTCTCCTGATGGTGGATCCCTGTCCTTCTGGGCTGCCTCATTTCTCAGGCAGCTGGGCCCATTCTGAGGCCCCTGGGATACTCTAAGGAAGAAGATCCCTGAGCTGGGGTCTGGGAGACTCAGATTCTGAGACCCAGTGCTATAGTATCACAGTCCCCCTAAAGTTTGTCTCTGCAAAGGTACCTGGCACAAAATCTCACGGGTATCTGAGCCCATAGGTTTTAAACTTGAGCATGGAACTTCTCTGAACCCCATGCTCAAATTTAAAGTTAGCATGTTAAATTTGTGATGTTAACCTGGTACAATTTCCCAAACTTGCCAGTAGGAAGAACCACCTAGGAGGGTTTATTAGCAGAATGATACCCAAGTCTTTCTCCTGGAAAGCTGATTCATTGTACATGGATATGGTTCAGGAATCTTATTTTAAACAGTCTTGCAGCTGATTTGCAGAATTTACAAGTTTGAGAAAGACTGGTGTCATTTATTCTGACATTACTGAGAGACCAAGGTCTGCATGGCTCAAGGAGGCCATGGTCTAATCACTAAATAGAAATGTAAATGCCGAATACTTCACTGGGGTGTCATCAAGGAAGGCTTTCTCCTCAGAGCAGTGTCCCAGGGGCCTCAGAGTGGGGCCAGCTGCCTGAGAGATGAGGCAGCCTGGGAAGGGCAGCAATTGACCACCAAGCAGGGCTGGCCCTGTCCCCTCACATCAGTACCCTAGAAATAAGCCCACTGTGGCCATGTTCTTACTGACAGACATGAATGGGAACAGGAAATGAGAGGATGTGGGAACGAGGGTGGGTTGGAAGGGGATAGTTGTGGGAGGGTGAGTATAGGTGTTGCCTGGACCACTCTAACCTGCCAGATGGGCTCGCTTCCAACTTCTCTGCAGTTGTTGGCTCTGCACCTGGCATCTCTCCCAAGAGAAGGAAGCACCACTGTGTGAACCTCCTTTCAAGAAACTCCCAATGCTAACCGTCATGTTATTGTCAGCTGCATGCCTGCTTCCAACATGGCGGTGTGGTGGTGTCAGCATGATTAACCTAGGGAAGGCTGGAGGCTCCTGCAGCTGCAGTGCCTGCCCAGTGAGGTGGTAGCTGGGAAAAGGAGTAGTGTTGGAGGGAGGGGTATGATTACCATATTCCAGGATTTTATTTTACATAAGGATATTGCTATTATTTTCTAGAGTTCTACCATTAATACATAAGCATACATAAGAATTAAAAATTTATATAGATATGGAATTAGTACTACCCACATATAAAACATATCCTTATTTTTCCCTCAAAAATTTAGGCAAAAAAGTGTGCATCATACATAGCGAAATATGGTAACTCAAAAATGATCATAGT